GTTTTTTTTTGGGGGGGGGGGGGGAGGGTTACGCTGCATTTTCTTTAAATCCCGAATCGATGTTGTGTTTATTTAAAGAAAAAGCGTCATGACCATTCTGAGTTTTGTCGGTTTTTATGTTTTGGTGACGATTTCTGTTTGTTAAATTTCATTTCTGGTTTTGTTGTGAGTATGCCATTTTACCTCACCAATCTTTCTGCTAATACCCTTCCCCCTTTCAGTCTGCTGGGCTAAGGTGCAGAAGGGACATTTGCTCGTGGGGGTGACTCAAAGTGGAACTGCTCTCCCAGGTGTGGGGAGGGGAGAAGGAGACCCTTAATCATGCATCCACCCCACTGGATCCAGTAAGTCCTGTGGTGTGATGGGTACACCACAGCAGTGCAAGGTGGAATTGCTGCCTAAAAACAACTCTCCTCTTCGTACAACCACAGCAACCAATGTGCCATTGCTGTCTGCCACAGAGGATATCCAGCTTTTTCTTCACCAGACAGGAAGCTTAAGCTATTCCGTTCCATACTTGAGGTTCTTTGTGTGTTTTAAAAACGATTGCCCACAGCTGGGCAATAGGCTGGAGGGAAGTGGAAGATGAGTCATGTATTTCTTCTTTGGGATTTATCTTTTTACCAAGGTGACTCTCCAATTGCAGCTACTTCCTAAGGCTGAATGCGTTTGCTATCCATCCTGTTGGACCGTGGCTCCAAAACATGGGTCATGAATATGTCAATAACTTTTTCCTTTGCCATGTTGAGATGGAGTGGTCTGGTAGCTCTAGCTTTAGAGGAAGAAGGCCTTTGTAGAGACTGTTTATATTAGTCTGAGAACTGTCTCGTACTGTATACACGCTGACACAAGGCTGAACCAGATTCCTGTTTGGAGGCATCTCTTTTCCCGGGACTCGAAGTGGGATTTTTGAACTGTATGCGTTGCTTGATGACAATGGTAACCTCCGTATCTTCCTGAGCTCATTTCCTGGTCCAGTCCATGTGATTGATTGCAACTCATTTAGTATGTGTTGTTTTGTTCTGTTTGTTTGTTTGGGCTGCTTTTCCTTCAAATCAGCACCACTTGAAAATTTTAGGCTAGAAGTGAAAATCTTTTCTTACAAGAAACAAGCTTTTTCTTTTTCTCACTTCAGCTTGAATTGCTTCTCCCCTCCCCTGTTTTATGAGTGTTTTACCTCACTTCGAAGCAGACTGAAAAGGAAGTAGATCCTAATTTCATTTATTACAGTGTTGAGTTGCGGTTGCTTTTCTGTTGTATATTTTTGTTGGTGTTTTATTTTGCTGCTCTTACGGCTTTATTAATCCTTCTCTTCTGTATTACATTTTGTTGTCACCTTGTTTTAAGTAGAGTTTTCATCTCTTTTAGTTTGCAACTGATACCTGCTTGACCCCTCCTCATGTTAAGGCAAACACTTGTTGAGGGGGAGGGAATCCAGGGAGAGGCATCTTTACCTTTTCTCTAGCTTGGGTTTTTGACTATGATCACAAGGAATTAAGCTAAATTTTTGTTCCTGTGCCCAGTGACCAGCTTGTACAACTGAGGGTCTGGGCAGGAGCAGCAGAGCACCACGTTTCTCTCCCATCTTTATATTGGCCCTCCAAACTTTCTCCCTATGCCCAGAGAATGGTAAAGTGCTCTAAACTGGAGGAGTAGTTGACCTTGGATATAAAATCCAGTGGAGAAACACTGAGAGGAAATCCAGCTATGTAAGTGACCCATGCTCTAATATAGGGCGCTCAATTCGTCTAGAATCAGCTGCAAGGAACACTCGAGCAGTTAAGTAGGTTTCTAATTTAGTGATTGATAAGAAGCCTACTATTGGGAGTGTTATGTACCCTCCCAGAATGCTTCCTTTAAAATCTCAGACTTCTGCCGCTACCAACGCAAATTACTCCACTATTTTCTCCTTTTCTGGAGGACTGCACACAGACTTGATTTGTTGGACTCCTTTGTATTATTCAGCATTCCACTTTAATCGGGGCTCCTCATCCCACCCTGAAGTTTGCCTTTTTAAGCAAGTCTTTTAAGTACAAAAAACTGAGAATAAATAAACCAGTTATGCTAGAAAGTTCAAAGTCAAGTTCAGGTGAGGCAACAGTAAAACATGTTAACTGAAATACGCTCCCAAGTTGTTTTAAATGTTTTATGTTCTAATAAGTTTTGCAGTGTATTCTAGCATTGGCCCCAAATGCTGCTGTGTTCACTGTGCTGTAAGCTGCAGTGTTCTGGACCTTTTCTCCAGAATATTTTGGTGCTTTATTACGGGAGAAGGAAACGTACAGCATCCCAAGATACCTCTTGGTGGGGAATACTGTACTTTCCGAGATCCTCAATAATGATCTGCTGAGAAACTCAAAAGATGGTTATGATTTGTGAATCTTGATAATTAACATATATATGCAGTGTAATAAAGTATGCAGAGAGGAGAGAAAATGCTCAGTCATAAATCTATTTTATATGGTGATTGTGCATATTAAACTAAAATAACTTATGAAATTGCCTAAACACAGTCATTTTCCTTTTAATTTGTAATTTCTAATGATCTCTAGACTATGCTTCGTAGCATGGAGAGCTTTCTAATGACACTTTACATGCAATAGATTCTCTTTAAATTTTCAGTGTGTTGCTAACAATTTTATTTACAGTTGTATTGCATCTAAAGTCATCTTCGATAAGGTGGCGTATTAAATGTTCCCTTTGTGTGTTCTTTAACTCACTAATGTAGACATGTTGGCTCCAGCCATCTCTGGTTTAATGTGTCTGTGTTTTCACATAGTTAGCTTTGATAGTGCTCAAGGAACTCTGTATGGCCAGAGTACAAAAAGCAGTACAGGACAATGTTTTGTAGTCTAGCAAAACTACAGACAGTAGGCCGTGTGAAGGAAGGCTTGTGTGTCCTGTTAGCCAGTCAGTCCTGATGTTCTTAGAGGTGATAGCCTAATGCTTTTTTTTCCTTCCTGTTACCAGGGCATTTGTATACCTAAGCAATCTGCTGTACCCAGTGCCCCTCATCCACAGAGTAGCGGTTGTCAGTGAGAAGGGGGAAGTGCGAGGATTCCTGCGTGTGGCAGTGCAGGCGATAGCAGGTAAGAGGCTCAAAGTCTGCTTTGGGCAACTTTTCATCAACCATGTTTTTTTTTTTTGTTTGTTTGTTTTTTTTAATGAATGGGCACCACAGATCAGATTTATCTATATAGTTTTTCAAAGCACAGTGTTAATCTGTCTAGCTGGGGTTGCAGGATAAAAGTAGGACATTCCTGTTGTTTTCCAGGAGGAAAATGCTTTGATTTTTAAGGGGAGGCTGGGTGGGAGGGAATCGGCAGCTGAACTGCTCCTTCCTTTGACTGATTTATCCCAGGTCCTTGGGAGAAGAGAGGAGGTATCACATTTTCTGCATGGCTAGTTCTCTAATCTGCCATTTGACTGCTAGCATTTTGTCCTTTTCAACTCTGGTGTGAGCAAGTCGAGGCTTATGCTTGCTGTTTGGCCGTGCACTATCTGTCTTGGTGAGAGCACAAGATGCTTCCTGTAATTTATCTGTCTTTTCTAGCAAAGGCTAACTTCCAACCTTTGTCTGTTGTCTTAGGAAGGCAGCCCTGGGGGCTTCATTCTCCATGGGAACATGCAATGAGGTCTCAGACACTGAGTCTAGGATTCTCTCTGGCAGGGGCTAAAATGGCAGATGAAATGAAATGTGCTTAAATACATCCAGAAGTTTTACTTCTAGCCTGGCTAGTTCTTCTTGGCATTGACACTAATGCATCTAAGTGGTTGATATGAAAGAGCAAACTGTGGCACTTAGGAATTGATTTTGGAACATCTCTTCAAATTTGGCTGTGGGTTTGTTTGGTCTTTGAGTGAAATTTCTAAAGGCATTATCAGCCTCGGGCTTACTTCTATAACATGCATTTTCTGTTGGAAAATACCTTGGCATGTAACTGGGCCCTCTTCTTGGCAGACTCCAGAGAGTCCCAGGAATGAATGGGTCATACAGATAGCCAGCCGCTCCTGGCCAGGGTCTTACACAGTGGTGGAGTCATGCTGCTCACTCTGTATGTAGAGGATCTTTGTCTCCAGGACTGGTAGACTGGCAATTACTTAACCTATTTTAAAAAGCTTTGGATTGGTTTTTCCCCTATTCTGTAAAGCTGCTTCTTTTATTGTGTATTCTTTGGTGGCTGGAGATTTGTCATTAATATACATCTGGTATAATTCCTGGAAAGAGCATGAAAGCTACAGATCCTGGTTTACATTTATGTGAATCAAGTGGATTGATTAAAAAATGATTCTGAGCAGCATTATTTTATGCATCTCTGCCTCTAGCAAGAATCCCCTATAGCAAAGGATCTGGAGGTGTGGTGACATGGATCACTGGAGTCAGCCTGTGGACAGGAACTGAAAACTTCTGCCAATAGGTTCACAGTCAACTCTCTGATTAGGTTTATGCAATTCCAGTTGATGTGACTTAAATTTTCCTTTCATTTCTGTTCTGTTTGGTCGTTATATTTTCATGGTATTCATTCACTTGGCTCATAAGCTGGCAAGTGTACAGTAAAAATCAGTACCGCATAGTTTTACACCTATGAATTCTGCACAGGTTAGTGAGTATTTATTTAATTGATAAATTAGCCTGTATTAACAGTGGGCCCTTCTAACTTATTTTGTTGGTCTTTTCCATGCCCTTCTGCAAAGGCCAGTGTTTGGGTGGTTCTCTACTTTGCTCGCACTTGCTCCAGTGTAGTATTAAATAATTCCAGAGACTTCCCTAACTTGACCATCAAGTTTACAGTCTCATTCCACCTTGCCATAAATGGGACTTCAATTTTTCCTCAATGGTGTGTTTTTTCTTTGTTTGGTAGCTGATGAAGAAGCCCCAGATTATGGATCTGGCATTCGGCAGTCTGGCACTGCAAAAATCTCGTTTGATAATGAATACTTCGATAAGGTAAAAAATCTTCAGTGTCTCAACGTTTCTTGGAGAGGGAAGCAGTGTGTCCAGTTTTGAACATAGACGGGATAATACAAGAAAGAAGGGCTGGGGCTGTTGGGAACTGCATGGCTTTGTCACCTGAAGCATCTGTCTGTCTTTTTTTTCAGAGTGACTTTTCTTCAGTTGCAATGACTCGATCTGGACTGTCGTTAGAAGAACTGAGAATTGTGGAAGGGCAAGGCCAGAGCTCAGAGGTCATCACTCCCCCAGAGGAGATTAACAGAATGAATGATCTAGGTAAGTAAGCAAGACACAGTACCATCTGGGATTCGAGGGGACCAACATAGGGTCATTGTAATTGCATATGAAGAATGGCTTTGGGTCTCATTCCGTACTGTGCTACAGGCTGAGGGATGTTGCCTCTGATGGGGACAGGAAGGTACGTAATGCACGGATTAGTTTTTCAACTTTGTTTTGTGAGTGATGACATAGCACCTGGAGGGAAGCTTTTGAGTCTCAGTTGCTTCAGTTTTTGCTGTGCTGAGAGGCTTGAGTGGTTGGAAATCTCTTATTTAAGCTGGTATTAAGTTAGCAATGGCTGTGTGCATTTTCCTGCTTGCTACTTCAAATCTGTGCCTGAGGGAGAGAAGAACTCTGGTTAAAACCTAGATATAACTTACCAGCTCACTGGTGATGAACCTGGCACCTAATTTGGAGATACCGCAGTTTCCACAGGAACAATACAGGCCGGGCCTTTTCCACTGTAGGATTGTTCATTCCTCCTGTGTGTAGCTTTGCCGGTAGTAGTTGCCCTTGTGGTTCTAATACAAGTAAGTTGTAAGGGATTGGGGCATAGGTGGTCTGACTTAATGGCTACGCCACTGAGGGAAGGCAGGGGCCAGGGGCTGGGTTGGAGTTTGGGAGCCACATTATCAAATCTGGAGGGGAATCCAGGGGCAGAGTCCACAACACAGTCCAGGGTGAGGATTTGGGGATCAGATGCTGAGTTACCAAGTCCTAGGGATAATCCACAGTCCCAAGAGCAGAGCCAAACTGGGGTAAGGAGCCAGGAAACTGATCCACAGGGAAGTCCAAAGCCAGAGTCCTGGAACAAGCCACAATCAGGGTCAGGAAACCATGGAAAACCAGAAGGCTTGCCACAGCAGACTGGGTCAGAACTGTTGGCCGGCCTGGAGGCTGCTGCCACAGATTGGAATAAGTGGGGGGGGCCTGAGCTCCAAGCAGCCAATCAGGAAGCCTACCAGTTAACTAGCTGGGACAGATCTCGTCAGCCAGAGACCCAAGCTGGTCTGGGCAGTCTGCTAGTCCTTAACACGGGTCCAAAGAACTCAGGTGGCTTTTACCCATGCACTGCTCTCTGCATGGTGAGAACGTAGGCTTGAGGCTTTCTTAACCCTCCAGCCTTCACCAGGGCTACTGCAGTTGGGTTACTGCACTTGTTGGTTAAGACAGCTGGTTAAAAGGTTGAAACAGCCCTGAGACAAATGCCTCAGTCCCTCTTCTATCCTTAACACAGGCTTTCTGCTACCTGAGCTGTACCTCCTTTGCAATTCTATGCAATTCCCTTTCATCTCCACAACTTGCTGTTGCCATCAAATCACTTTTCAAAACTGGCCACAGAACAGTGAAGGGTTTGGAGTTTGTGTTCTGGGGGCCTGGGAAGTGGGGGGCTTGACCCCTTCTGTGTGGGAGGGAGCATCTGTTGATGCACTAAATTGACAAGTTTTGTGTGGTTGTTGGTTTGTCTTTAAGACCTGAAGTCAGGCACTTTGCTGGATGGGAAGATGGTGATGGAAGGGTTTACTGATGAGGCTGGTGACCACCTGAAGCTGGGCAGCGTGTTCACCTTCCGCGTGACAGTGCTGCAGGCCAGTGGCATCCTACCAGAATATGCAGACATCTTCTGCCAGTTCAAGTAAGGACCAGCCCTTGATAAGAAGGGGAGGGCTTTGGCAGGGTAAATGGCATTTTCTCTTCAGTAGCTGGAGCTCAGACTGAGCAGCTTCCAGGGGGTCATTATGACAACAGCCTCTTGCAAAAGTCACAACCCAAGTGCTGCCCTGAACAAACCTCAGTCTCGCAGCAATGTGGCATCTAGGAGCAAAGCCTCACAGACTGAATTACAACTTTGAACAGCCACTTCTTCCTCTCCTGTTCCTCTTGTCCTAACATCCCAAAGTTTTGTAGAGAAGGAGTCTGAGGTCCTCCTGGTGATGGGTGCTGTATGAGATCAATAGCACCCAGCAGTTCCTTATGTTGAATAAATTTATAACGTCTCACTTGATAGATGGTTAGGCCCTATGAAGTCTATATGCAATAAAAGTGGATTGTGTGTATACCTAGCTTGGACCAGAGGGGCTGACAGCACAGTATATCACTTAGATCTCAGCTAAAGCTTTGTTTTCATTTAGAAGTTAAAGTAAGGATGAAAAGGGAGGGCGGTGGATACATAAAACAACAGAACAGTGGAAGAAATGCAAGGCAAGCGGTGGGGCAAAAGGGAACCCTGATAAATGTGCTTAAATAGCAGCCCAGGAGAGCAGAGATGTGCTGGGTTCTCCAGGGTCGGGCTAACATGCAGAGCGGGTCTTGTTCATTTGAGCTGTTTTATTTGTTTTTAGCTTTTTACACCGACACGATGAAGCTTTCTCCACTGAGCCTCTCAAAAACAATGGCCGGGGGACTCCACTTGGGTTTTACCATGTTCAGAATGTAAGTGAAACTCAGCACTTCTGTCTGAAGAATGAAGGACTAGGGGAGGATCCTGCCTAAGTTGATTTTAGCACTAGGGAATGCACATTGCCTTCCTGTTAGCCTACTCAGTCAAGCATGTGTAGCAAAGGGGGCGGGCACACAGAAGAATAGACAATAGGAGGAGTGATCAAATGGGTGATGTAATCCCCACTGGAGAAAATAGAGCCTGTTAGTGGTGACTGAATTACAAAGCCTTTATGCAAGGGTGTGGAGTTTTAACCCTTCTCCTCACCCCTTCCTGGTTCTGAATTCCTTGTGCTCTCACTCCTCTTATTGGGACACAGGAATGTGCAATAGAAGCAGCTTGAAAATTTAGGAGATAGAAAGCATGAAAAGCCCTGCTCCAGCTGCCAAATTAACTGAGTGTGGGCAGCTTCATCAATGAATGACGACCTTGTTACAGTTATTTTGTAGCTGCGTCCTTTCCTTACCTGCTGTGTACCTAGTTCAGGGGGTTTCTGTTTCTCCTGCAACACCTGATGACATTTTTAACATCTGAATAAAATCAGGAACGCAGCTCCCCGTGGAGTGACACACTTCAATTAAGCCATCAATGTCTTGGAAAAGACCATGGTTCCCTGGGCTCTCCTTGTGAGGCTGCAGGGAGGCTCTCTGACCTGATGATCTCTTCCCTTGCTTGCCAGGTTGCTGTAGAAGTGACAGAGTCGTTTGTCGAGTACATCAAAACCAAGCCCATTGTTTTTGAAGTCTTTGGCCATTATCAACAGCATCCTCCCCACCTTCAGGGACAGGATCTCAACAGGTATGTTGAGATCCTTCATTTCTGCTGTATAAAGGCTCTCTGTGATAGTAGAAAGGATCCTGAATGTGGGGATAGATATCATACCCACCTCTCCTCTTTGCTTCTGGAGTTCCATACCTGGCCTATATATTCAGGCTGTGGACCTGGCCTAAGCAGCCAGACTTCTGCTGGCCTGAGTGTCATTTCGGAGGGCGAAGTGTGATCCCAACGTAGCTATGGCAGCAAGGTCCTTTGTGTAGGTGCAGCTCTGTGAGCAGAACTGTGCATTTACCTGAACAGCTTGTTTTGCTTTTCAAGAGTGGGGTTGGGGGAAGTTGTACAGCCAAGCTTGGAGCACACTGGAGGGGCAGCATGAGAGGGGAGCATGGGGGTGGTAACTGTTTTCTCTTTCTGCAGCCCTCCCCAGCCCTCCCGGCGATTCTTCCCTCCCCCCATGCCGCTGTCAAAGCCAGGTGAGAATTAACAAATTTTTCACATCAAGCTGTTCCTTGCGTCTGTGTGTCTGCACTTGCTGCTTAAAAATAAGGGTGCAGAGGACTAGGTGTATTCAGTCAATTATGTTTGAGCAGGTGAAATGGAGAACACTGGGGCAGGCATGGGACCTCCCTCTCTGACACTGTTCATTCCCAGGCGTTCTGTCCCAACTTCACCTCAGAGCAATTGTTTCTCGAGACATGCCAGAAGTGCAGTCACATGTATGAAGTGTCCAATCCATCCTCCCCGATTTAGCTAGGGAACCATTCTCTGTGTGGCTACTGAGCATGTGACCCGGGGTTTGCTGATCTGTTAGCCCGTCTGCCTTTGCTCTCACTAATGCTGTCACAATGATCCTTCCATTTTCTTTTGTTTAATTTACTTGTGCATGTTGACTTCTTTTTTCCTTTATTTTTTTGTCCTCCCCTCCCTCCCATCTTCTTTCCTTTCTTCCTGCTTGTCTCCATGGCCTTTTTTTTCCCCCCTTGTTCCATTCCCTTTTCAGACCATGAGAGAAAAATCCAGTTGATTAGGTATCTCATGTCTGGCTATGTAAACACGCGTGTGCTGAACGCGCTGTCTGAGCACGCCCACGTGCTCACGTACTCTGCCATGGCTGCTTTCCAGGACGGGGCTGACCAGCTGCCACCTTTTCTCTTTCTGCCTATTCCCAGCTGTCAGAGCGAGCGGGCTCCCAAACGAGATGGTTAGTAGCCAGATTTGACCTTTGGTAGATATAGAAATATCCCACACTCTGGCTTGAAAGCAGTTCATCCCCATTTTTGCCCTCTGGTATCCTGAGTAGCTGGTAGTCCTCGTAGTGGGCAGATGATGCAGCATTGATATGCTGATGCAAGCAGTGTGTGGGGAGTCTGCATTTCGGGGTTCTGATCCTACCTCTGTCATAGTTACAGTGACATTGTTCCTGCCACGGAAACCATATCTGATCTGTAAAATGGGAGCAGCTGCCTGCTGCCTTGTTTATGTGCCCATTGATACCTTCAGAGGAAAGGCGCTTTAAGTGCCGAGTTTTATCGGAGGGTGTCTGCTGAAGCTCCCCTCTTATCTGTCCAGGTTGGTCACCTCGCCATTGCATCCTAGTGAATCCTGGGTTGGGTGGTCCAGCTGTTTCTGAACAAATCCATTCCTGGCTGCCAGAGCCTCTGGGAACATTTAAGATGGCTCAGCCTACGTAGTCGTAAAGCTTCGTCTATATTTGTCAGATGTTTCAGTGCTGCCAAATTTTTCTGGCCCCAGCCTCCAGTGGCTTGTGTGCTTTGTCCTCCTTCCCAGTTAACGTTGTCATTTTAGAGTCCAGCTGTCATTAGCCCACGGATGCTATACGCACAGCTGCAGCTCTTATGCTGGTGGCATGGGTAGATGTGAGACAGCGATGGTGACTGTTTTGGTTATGAATGGGAGACAGCAAGTGATGATACTGAACCCATTGCTTCGTGTAACGCTGATGTCCTGCTGTATTTGACTTTCATCCCTGTAGTCGAGTCTCTGCCCATTCTTCTGGGTCCACTGTTTCCAGCTAGCTTGACATGGAGCTAGAGGCAGAATTAAAATAACAGGTTTTGAAAGAATGATGACTTGCTCCTGTGTGCCTGCACCGGGACATGTGCTAATCGCTAGTCGTTGAGCTGATTGTGCTTCCGCCATTGAGGGATGTGGTTGGGCCATGATGGAAGTGGCAGGAGACAAAGGCAAGAATGGGAGAAGCTATAAAATGCTGAGGCAGGTCTTCAGTAAAGTAGGGCATGGGAATAAAGCTGTAGGAGCGGTTGACTAAATGTGTTAAACCAGGTGGAATGATGAGGAAGCTGCAGAGCTGCATGCAGAGGAGAGAAGCTTTCACAATTTTTCAATACCTTTCCTATTCCCAGGAGTAGAGCAAAAAAAAAAAAAAAAAGGCAGAGATAGCTGGATAGAATGGTAGCATGAAGGGGTGGCTTCAGGGGGAGGAAAATGGAAAAAGGTTAAGTCTGATTGCTGTCTTGTGATCCCACTTTAAAGCACTGCTTGTCTTTTCATTAGTCATGAAAGGAACTAGTAAGTCTGACGGCAGAACTGACAAGCCTGGAATAAAGGGAGCCACAGAGCTTGATTCTAGGACCTTTTGCTCTAGAAGTAGTCCTGGCAAATCTCCTTAAATGTTCACCTTGTATCTAAAATGGCAGAGATTACCGCTCTGCTCTTAACCTCTTCAGTGTAGTGCACAATCTAATATACCTTCTGGTGTAACATATAAAGGTCGTCAAACCTAAATTAGGAATCTCTGGGATCTTGGCCTTCTCTTTTTTGTGAAGGCTCCTGAATGCTGAAGGTGTGCCGGTAAAGATAAACAGACCTAGGCAGGCCCAAACTCCAAGCATGCGGAGGCTGAAATGGGCCTCCCTGGCGGTCAGAAAGGGTCTCTGCAGTGTAGGTGTTGTTGTCTTGAGAACATAATTTGGAGATACTGGCTTCAAGGCTGCATCTGAAGGATTCTAAACCAAATGCAAAAAAAATAGCCTATTTCTAAATTTGGGTGTCTAAGGTGGCACAGGACTTTCCCACTCATGGATCCACAGAGGTTCTATTTATAGTGAATTTATCCTTTGTGGAAACTCTCTTCAGTCTGTCACATGCCAGCGTTGTCTAGGCATTTTACCATGAGGGTAAGTGCCATGAGTCCTGACCCCTTCATGGAGTTAGGCGACCTTAAATGGAAGCTGCAATGACCCTTTTCACGAATTGTTTAAAACAAGTCCCTTACTGTAATAGATGATGACTGTATGTGTGACTTAAGGTGAATTTTATGCTGTGTGGGTTAATGGAAAGTTGGCCTTCTGTTTTCACTTAGGGTCTCACCCTTTGCTTCAGTAGGGAAAACTCTTATAGTATTTCGTAGTTACGGCTGATCCTCCATCTCTTTATAGACAGTGGAGGAAGGGAAGGGACTCTCGGTTTAAAAGACAACTCCTTAGTCACTCCATTGCCTAGCTGGTGTCCTTCCTGGCTTTTTAACTTCAGGTGAGTCGATTGTGTGACCCCTGCCCC